TAATGTAAATATCTGATATGCAGGATGTATTTAGGTGACCCCTGTGAAAGGGTCGTTCGACCCCCAAAAGGGTCATGACCCACAGGTTGAGAACCGCTGCTCTAGAGCCTCTGACCACCGGTATCCTCTGGTTCTAGAACTCACTATCTTTCTCAGGTTCTAGACCTCTCCCTGTAAACTCCTTTGTTCTAGATGTCACTCTCTCCAATTCCTGCTGGTTCCAGACCTTACAACCGAGTGTTTTCTCTGATTCTGGACCCCACAACCCCATGCTTCCTATTGGCTCTACTCTTCCTAATCTGGAACACATCTGGTTCCAAATCCAGACTTTCTAATCTCTAAATCCCATGATTCCCAGCTCATTCCTTTAAACTTTCTACACTCAAGATTTGCTTTTCTCATCAAAAAAGAGAAAACTGAGTTCTATGTCTTTTTAAAAAATATATTTTTATTGATTTCAGAGAGGAAGGGAGAGGGAGTGAGAGATAGAAACATCAGATGAGAGAGTGTCATTGGTTGGCTGCCTCCTGCATGCCCCACACTGGGAATCAAGCCCACAACCTGGGCACATGCCTTGACTGGGAATCGAACCGTGACCTCCTGGTACATAGGTGGACATTCAACCACTGAGCCATGCTGGCTGGGCTCTATGTCTTGATCTTATAACCAATACCTCCAAAACCGGACACCATGCTGTAGTTCTTTTTTATTCTAGATCTTATGACCTCTACCATTCACTGGTTCTAGACCACACAACCTCTAGACCTTGCAATTTCCAGGGCCCTCTGATTCTAGATCTGATTATCTCCCTTTTCTCTGGTTCTAGAACTTGGCCTCAAACGTGTCTGATTCCAGACCTCATACTATAGTCCCTTGGTCCTAGACAGTCTCCAATTTCTCCTCACTCCAGATCTTGTTACTCCAAATTACCCTGAGTTTAGAACCCAGCCTTCAAACATCTTCTGATATAGAACTTGCCTTATAAATTTCTCTGGTTCTAGACCTTACAACACCCAACTCTTGATTCTAGATCATATGACTGCAGAGCCCCTCTAGAACTTGGTCTTCAGGCTTTTTCTAATTCTAGTCCTTACTCTATAAATTCCTCTGGTTCTAGGTCTCACAGCTGCCAACTGCCTCTGGTTTCAGATACAAATTCTTCTGGTTCTAGAACTCAGCCTTCAAATGCTTCTGATTCTAGAATCTGAACCTCACCCTATAGATTCCTCTAGTTCTGAATCTTACAACTCCTGACTCCCTGATTCCAGACTCCAACCACCTAACTTTATTGTGGCCTTCTCACTCCATTCAACTTGCCCCAATTCCAACTCTCTTTCTTGTTTTTAATCCTCACCTGAGGATATTTTTTCCATGGCTTTTCAGAAAGTGGGAGGGACAGAGGAGAGGGAAGAGAGACTCAATGTGAGAGAGACACATTGACTGGTTACCTCCTGCACATGCCCCGACCAGGGGCGGGGAGCAAACCTGCAACCCAGGTAACTTGCCCTTGACCAGGAATCAAACTTGAACCCCAGTCTGGCTGGTGTGGCCCAGTGGTTGAGCATCAATCTATAAACCAGGTCACAGTTCGATTCCCACATTGCAGGCTCGATCCCTGGTGTGGGGCATGCAGGAGGCAGCCCATCAATGATTCCCTCTCATCATTGATGTTTCTATCTCTCTCTCTCTCTCTCCCTCTCCCTCTCTGAAACCAGAACCCCTTAGGTGCCTGGCTGATGCCCTAACCACTGAGCCCACCGGCCAGGACCCTACTCTCTTTCTTAAGTCTTCCCATTCAAGGTCCCTATCCTCCAGGTTTCTCTTCTCGTGGACTTCATGCTCAAACCTTTCCATTCTCAATCTCATATCCTTAAATTTTCTCTACTCCCCACCTCAGCCCTCCAGATATGCATTTACTTTTATTTTACCCCAGGTATGTGGGGAACCTAGGGCTCCCTCACCCTCTTTGGGGGGGTTCACAATCCAGGAGACTTCCCCAGCCGCACAGGCACACGCACAGCCCTATCCATACATCTCGAGGTGGGGCGAGAGGCCAAGACTCCTCAGTTCTCTGCCACCACTCATGTGTCCCTAGACCCCCTTCTATGCTGGTGCTACTCTTGGTCTTCCATGGGAAAGGCCTTCCTCTCTCAGCCCAAGTCACCCCCTTTCGGAAGGGCCCTTTTCACTTTGTGCTTTTTGTTTTTCAGGGAATTGCCTGTCCAGATTGGTGCTATAGGGGGAGAAGGGTCTCCCTCCCCCCCTCCCTCCCACAGGGCCCTCAATAAATAGAACTGTGCTAGGCTGGGGGATGATATGCAGGATGTATTTAGGTGACCCCTGTGAAAGGGTCGTTCGACCCCCAAAAGGGTCATGACCCACAGGTTGAGAACCGCTGCTCTAGAGCCTCTGACCACCGGTATCCTCTGGTTCTAGAACTCACTATCTTTCTCAGGTTCTAGACCTCTCCCTGTAAACTCCTTTGTTCTAGATGTCACTCTCTCCAATTCCTGCTGGTTCCAGACCTTACAACCGAGTGTTTTCTCTGATTCTGGACCCCACAACCCCATGCTTCCTATTGGCTCTACTCTTCCTAATCTGGAACACATCTGGTTCCAAATCCAGACTTTCTAATCTCTAAATCCCATGATTCCCAGCTCATTCCTTTAAACTTTCTACACTCAAGATTTGCTTTTCTCATCAAAAAAGAGAAAACTGAGTTCTATGTCTTTTTAAAAAATATATTTTTATTGATTTCAGAGAGGAAGGGAGAGGGAGTGAGAGATAGAAACATCAGATGAGAGAGTGTCATTGGTTGGCTGCCTCCTGCATGCCCCACACTGGGAATCAAGCCCACAACCTGGGCACATGCCTTGACTGGGAATCGAACCGTGACCTCCTGGTACATAGGTGGACATTCAACCACTGAGCCATGCTGGCTGGGCTCTATGTCTTGATCTTATAACCAATACCTCCAAAACCGGACACCATGCTGTAGTTCTTTTTTATTCTAGATCTTATGACCTCTACCATTCACTGGTTCTAGACCACACAACCTCTAGACCTTGCAATTTCCAGGGCCCTCTGATTCTAGATCTGATTATCTCCCTTTTCTCTGGTTCTAGAACTTGGCCTCAAACGTGTCTGATTCCAGACCTCATACTATAGTCCCTTGGTCCTAGACAGTCTCCAATTTCTCCTCACTCCAGATCTTGTTACTCCAAATTACCCTGAGTTTAGAACCCAGCCTTCAAACATCTTCTGATATAGAACTTGCCTTATAAATTTCTCTGGTTCTAGACCTTACAACACCCAACTCTTGATTCTAGATCATATGACTGCAGAGCCCCTCTAGAACTTGGTCTTCAGGCTTTTTCTAATTCTAGTCCTTACTCTATAAATTCCTCTGGTTCTAGGTCTCACAGCTGCCAACTGCCTCTGGTTTCAGATACAAATTCTTCTGGTTCTAGAACTCAGCCTTCAAATGCTTCTGATTCTAGAATCTGAACCTCACCCTATAGATTCCTCTAGTTCTGAATCTTACAACTCCTGACTCCCTGATTCCAGACTCCAACCACCTAACTTTATTGTGGCCTTCTCACTCCATTCAACTTGCCCCAATTCCAACTCTCTTTCTTGTTTTTAATCCTCACCTGAGGATATTTTTTCCATGGCTTTTCAGAAAGTGGGAGGGACAGAGGAGAGGGAAGAGAGACTCAATGTGAGAGAGACACATTGACTGGTTACCTCCTGCACATGCCCCGACCAGGGGCGGGGAGCAAACCTGCAACCCAGGTAACTTGCCCTTGACCAGGAATCAAACTTGAACCCCAGTCTGGCTGGTGTGGCCCAGTGGTTGAGCATCAATCTATAAACCAGGTCACAGTTCGATTCCCACATTGCAGGCTCGATCCCTGGTGTGGGGCATGCAGGAGGCAGCCCATCAATGATTCCCTCTCATCATTGATGTTTCTATCTCTCTCTCTCTCTCTCCCTCTCCCTCTCTGAAACCAGAACCCCTTAGGTGCCTGGCTGATGCCCTAACCACTGAGCCCACCGGCCAGGACCCTACTCTCTTTCTTAAGTCTTCCCATTCAAGGTCCCTATCCTCCAGGTTTCTCTTCTCGTGGACTTCATGCTCAAACCTTTCCATTCTCAATCTCATATCCTTAAATTTTCTCTACTCCCCACCTCAGCCCTCCAGATATGCATTTACTTTTATTTTACCCCAGGTATGTGGGGAACCTAGGGCTCCCTCACCCTCTTTGGGGGGGTTCACAATCCAGGAGACTTCCCCAGCCGCACAGGCACACGCACAGCCCTATCCATACATCTCGAGGTGGGGCGAGAGGCCAAGACTCCTCAGTTCTCTGCCACCACTCATGTGTCCCTAGACCCCCTTCTATGCTGGTGCTACTCTTGGTCTTCCATGGGAAAGGCCTTCCTCTCTCAGCCCAAGTCACCCCCTTTCGGAAGGGCCCTTTTCACTTTGTGCTTTTTGTTTTTCAGGGAATTGCCTGTCCAGATTGGTGCTATAGGGGGAGAAGGGTCTCCCTCCCCCCCTCCCTCCCACAGGGCCCTCAATAAATAGAACTGTGCTAGGCTGGGGGACGGAAAGGGACTGGCCCGGCCACACTGGCTCTGAAACCCACTAATCTCCATACCACCATAAAGACCTCGCCTTGGAAGGCACCAGAACTCTGTGTGTTGACTCATCTGTGGAGTTTACTTTAGGGGGTGTGGTTGCCCTGGGTGACAGGTGTCCACATCACTTTGTGATTGTGTATATATGTATGTGACTCTGTTCCTATGTGGGCCTATGTAACATGTCTGGTAATGTTGTCATACTGTATATATGTGTCTTTGCGACATAATTCTATGAACCTGGGTGAGGAGGGCATTGTAATTCCTTCTACGTGTATGTGTTAGTGAGTGGAATACTTCTGCCTAATGTGTTTCTAGTTACTTCGGATTCCTGTGTTCCTGAGTGTGTGAGTATTGTGATTTGTTTGGTTTTTGTTTATTTTTTGGTTCGTGTGTGTGTGTGTGTGTGTGGTGTTGAGGTTCTGTGTACATGCACAGAACTGTTTGACACTATAATTCTATCTGACATGATTCTCTGTAGTTGTGTGTGTGTGTGAGAGAGATTGCTTGTCTATAGATTCATGTGCAGCAGGCTGTGCCTCTTCCGTCCTGTCTCTTATCACTCTCTCCGGTGTTCCACATAGGAATATTTTATATAT